TTAGTAACACTAAAAAAACTAACCATCGTATTTTGAAGCTTTGAGAAAGAAAAGATATTTTTTTTTTTGCATTTATGATTTAGTCATTTTCTATGCCATATTTCTATTGTAAATTAACAGTAAAATTTCTTTGTATTTAAGTTTTTTCTCTTTTTGTTATTTTCTCTTATTATATGTAATTTTGGCAGGTAAAGTGGTTTGTCTTCTTCATTTAGAAATTATGTGATTTAGAAACTAAAAATGATACATTTTTTTCTTTCCTCTTCTTGCTCGCTGTTCGTTTGGCTGTAGTAAAAGTAATAAAGTTTTGATGTGACGGAGGAAAGAAAATTCTGAGTAATACTGACTACACCTGATGTTTTTACTTTTCTACTACTGCTTTTTTATAGCGGCAAATAGCCCAGATTATTATAAGTTATTACTTTGTTGCTTTTTATTCACAGTTGTTGTTTTTTTTTGGCTTATTTACTGGTATTGTGCCGGATAAAACATCAAAAGTTTAAAACTAGCTTTTACTTTTCTATTTAATTTAATCTATTCTATCGTCGTAATAACTCGATGGCTGATTTCTGTGCTTATTAACTGAAAAAACTTACAATGTGTCGACAGCGTAGAGAACGCTGCTTCCAAGTAACCGATGGCGGAAAGGATTGACGTATTCAGATTTGTAAGGCAATATAGAGTAAATGGAAACTGAAGAACTGTTCTGTGCGGGCGAGGGTAGAGGAAAGACTGATTTATGCCTTTTTTTCCGTCTTTGCAGTAATTGATCTCTTTTGTTAATTTTTTCATTCTTCATTGTGAGTCCTGAATGGATACAGCAATTAGTAAAAAAAAAACTTTTTTCTCCTTCTTGTTTATTATTAGTTACTGTTATTAGTAAGAAAAAATACTTTATGTTCTTTTTAAGTATATTTTTTTTGAAGAATAACAAGAAAAAAGCATCTAAAATTGACATATGTAGTTTGTTTTTGACGCTGTTTTTGTTGCTATTTTGATAGTCATTGATAGTGAAGAAGAAGGAGAGGAAAAAGAAGTGATTTTTTTTTGCAACTAGTATAACGACGTTAAATTTAGCTAAAGAACATTTTTTGGAATCTATTTTTGATCGTCTCAAATTATAATCTTTTTTTTTCTCGCTTTCTTTCTGTTTTTACTAGGCCTTTTTTTTTTTCTGAGAAACGACAAAAACTATTTCTACTCTGATTTATGGATACTTTAAGCGATGTGCATTGTTGCTGATGAACAATACATTAGCAGATACTAATTAAGGCTTGACTGTGATCTATCTGTTTGCAAGTATAAATGCATTTTGTTAATTTTCAAATCAATCGGTGCTGTTGGTTTTAAGGAGGATCGATGCTGTCGTCATATGTTGTTGATCTATTCACTAAAAAATTTATTAATAGTTAAAGAAAGCTTAATTATAAGAAACAGAACAAAAATAAAAAGATTCTGTTTTCTCTTTTCAAAGATTCTGTTTTCTTTTTTTTTATTTCAAATTTATTTTTAGAGTAATATTTTAAACTGAGAAACAAGAAGGAAGGAATTAGAGTGCGTTGCTGAATTTTACTATTTTGGTCGTATAAAAGCAAAAAACTGTTTTGCATTAAAGTGTTGAAATGTCGACAAATGTACGAACGTAGCACAAAAAATTGCAAAGATCAGTTATCGGCTGCTCGGCTAATATCTTATTGATCTGTTGTGTCCAGTCAGTTTTTTTTTTTACATCGCTTGATTTGGTGATGGAAAATGTACTGAAAACTACTAAAAAGATCTAATTGTTTTGGTAATTACGCAAATTCTGTTGCTTTCTATGAATTTTCTGCTTAGATAGTTTCTCTCAAATTGGCAGCTAGTTTTTTTGTTTCCAGATAAAAGTTTTTTTACAGGTTTACAATGTTGCTAACGCCAGATTAAATTTGACCAACTAAAGTGTGAAATAAAAATAAGATAAGAGAAAAAAAAAACATACGCAAGAAACCTGTAATATACAAAGATAAAAAATCTAAAAAGTTTTTCCCTTTTTTTTTTTTTCTGTCGTTTCAAACTGTAAAAATGCTGTTTGGGAACCACAACAAACACAAAAAGAAAAAAATTGGGAAAAGAAAGCAAAAATTTGTATGCACATTTTCAATATGAACATTAAAAGTTAATATAATGATATATTTTTTTCTATGTCTTTATCGGTTCTTTTTTTTTTTTCAGTCTTATTCATTCTCAATTTTATTGCTATACCTGTTTACTTCTTTTTCTTTTTTGGACTTAAGTGCTGTTAATGAAGACTGCTAAAGTATTTTTTCTTTTGTTTTTGCAAAGGATATGGAAATAGATACTGTCTAGAAATAGGGGCTTATTTTTATGAAATAAAATTTAGAGTTTTACTTAAACACTATGGTTATCGTCAGTATGCCGAAAAAGTGACGAAAATGATAGTGGAGGGTAAGGGAGGAGGGCGGTGGAGAGGAGGGGGGACAAGAAAGGAAGGTGGAGAAGGAGGCTGAAGATGAAGGAAAGTTGAGAAGCCAAAAACAGGACAACAATGGTTGCATTTCTTTGTTCAGCGTCATTACCGTTGCTTACTCCCAATTAAATGTTTTGGCAACACTCCGGTCTGCTTCATCATCATCAGAACACACAAACACTTCGACGGATCTGCCTGATTCATTTAAAGTTCTTAAACATTCAGATCGTTGTTAGTTATTTATTGTTGCTGCCACTGCTGTTGCCAATATTACTGCCCTTTTTTAATCGATGGTAAGAAGAGCGGTAAAAGATGATGAATATTGCCTTGCCTTTACCTATCTTTTTTTTTGATACATACTTCGTTGTTCAGTTTTTGGTAATGTTACAGTTGTTGTTATTGAACATCTTCCAGTTGATTTTGATGATAAATCATCGTTCAAAAATTGCTCCGTTAAGCAGTGATTTTCTACCAAAAAAAAAAGAAAAATTTTAACCGAAAATCAACAAGCATATAAAAACAAAAATTTTTTGTCTTTGTCTGTCGTAAATTGGCATGAATCATCAGCATTGAATGTCTGCGATTTTCTCCACTTTTTTTTCCTTCAGAAAACCATTACAAAAGCTATGTGCGTATATTTCAATCATTGTTTCATTGACTTTTTTTTTTTTTTTTGATAGCAGCTTTTATGCTAATGTATAATCAAACAGAAATAAAAAAGAAATTTTGAACCAAAAGAAAATGTTTTAAATACAAAGATTGTATGACAAAAAAAAATAATCAACTTATTTTCATTTCTTTCTGTTCACTAAAAATTGCTTCAGAAATATTATGTGTAAGTAGGCAACGCAAGTGGATATTGCAGTTCTATATGTGGACACTGATTCAGTTAGTTGCAAAAAATAGCTGTTAAAATAAGGCACATAGATTCTATGCATTCTGAAATCACCTTTTTCTTCAACTTCTCCTGGCTTAATACTTGTAAATTTTTCTTTATCAAAAGTTACCTATTTTACGTATTTATCGCAATCAAAAAATCTGAAAGTTTTGGTTTTTTACGAATAGTTCAAAACATTTTAGAATCAATGTCTGCTGTTTGCACTATTAATACCATAGATATCTGTTTATTTTTTATTATGCTTTGCAGTCGAAAACACTTGTTGAAATCATTCTGAGTTTTCTGAACAATGAAGCTCTTGCAATATTATAAGAATTTTTGAACAGTTCAATTATAATAGCATTTGAAAAAGAAAGTCTATAGATAGAAAATTTGCAATGGTACACTGCTCATTTAATATCATTGACACTTTAACTGTAACTGTTGTTTTTGAAAAATGTGTAATACTAAGAATGATTTAAAAACAGAAATAAGCCATGCACAGCTTCTTGCAGAAAGTCTTTTTTTTTATTTTAGTTTTAGGTAGTTATCGTTTTTTAGTTTCAAAATTAGTTAATTTTTAAGCAATGTGAGAGTGAATGAGATCGTTTTGGTAGGCTAAAGACATTACACAGTTGCTGATGACAAGGCTAGAAAAAAATATCAGCAAATACTTTGCTGATGACAGTTTTTTCGTCGTTTCATTTACTGTGTCATTTACAGTTGAACAGTTAGTGAACTTTTCTATCATTTGACAGTAAAATAAGAACTATTTTTATTTTGTACACTCAGAATACTTAATTAGAGTAGACTATTTTTGGCTAAAAAAATTAATAGTGCTTGAAGTTTTTTTAACTGATTCTCAGCATGTCTTTAACACCGAACATCACCACCTGGAAATCCTTGCCATTAGTGCTGCAGTTCCGTTCCAGATTTCAGAAGCTTTTATAACAGTTTATTCAAGTTGAATTAAAATCAATAGATTTCTAATGTTTGTCTTCTTTTGCATTGTCGTTAGAATTTTTCAAACGATTTATTGTTTTTACAACAATGTGTCTGCATAAACAAGCTAAACTGTTTATGGAAACGTAAAAACATAACTGTTAACTGTAAGAAGCTGTTTGGTGCTGTAAAAACTGGTGTTGATATCTTTCTGTGAAATCAACATTGAAGTATATATAAACGACCGCTTCTGTTGAAAAGTACTGCCAACGGCAGTAGACATTAGCTGCAACAGGGTTAATTCAAACTTACCGCAATAACCGAAATATCGTTAGAAGACACGGAAAATAGTGTCTGACCGTCTTAGTGGCTATATTTAACGACATTAAACTATTGGACTTAAATGCTTTATTGATATTGTAAAGAAATGCAGAAGCTGACATCGGTCGTTGTCGTTGTTGCTAAAGGGAAGAGAATTGTTCTTCCTTGAAAATCTTTTTGCATTGCTGTGCTCGGCTGGTTGCACTGGAATCGAGTTTCCAGCGCTGTTTTTGGTACATTTTAAGTCCAGTTGAAAGTTACTGCTTTTGTTATGAATAAATTAGGTTTAGGAATCTGGAGTGGGGAGGGAGGAGAGGAAAAAAGAAAAAGAAACTAGAAAAAATTATTTTTTTATTCAATTTTTTTAGCTTATGCTACTTGTATAATTTTACTGTCGCTGTTTATAATGCTATAGCAATTATTAAGCACTAAATTTACATAAGAAATAATGTATGTTCAATTTTTATAATTGGAGAATGAACAAAAAAAAAGAAGTAAAAAAAGACAGAGAAAATTATTTGCTATTTTATTAACATCTAAACCTTTAGCAAATGAATGATTTAAAATAAATACCACCATTTATTTTCACTGGTTTCTTACACTGAACAAAAGGAAAAATTGTTTTATTAACTTGATCAAATTGTAATTTATTTTTTGCCAATTCTAATAAACTGCAAAATGTACACACACAACAGATTTGCATTTATAATACAAAACAAAAAACGACTGTCTGATGGTTATTTTATAATTTTTGCTTGTTCATTTTTTCGCGAACAACTTCTAAACCAAAAATTTGACTTAAAGTAGTTCAGTGGGTACAGTTGCTTGAATTTGCTCAAAAAATGATTAGTATTTGACAACACTTTCAATTGTCAAAGGATTAATGATTAGAGGAAACTGATAAAATAACAAGAAAAGGAAAATTTAATTTTATATTATTTTTGATCAAATATGCTCTTGTTTTATCTGTCTTTTTTTTTGGTAGTTGTTGTTGTCGCTGTCGTCGTTGTTGTTGCTGTGGTTAGTGGAGGTTGTTATCCAAATTGGTTACTTTAGCACTTTGGATTCAGTTTCATGATCGACAATGCATGAAGCTGAAAAAAAAAGC